CACAGACAACCTCTCGTCAATATGCGTTTTTCGCATTGCATTGCTGCAAAAAACGCATAATAATTACACATGTCAAAGAAACAAATAAGTCCGCGCTCCCTCGCTGGTCCCCGTCATCACTTTTTTTTAGCTCTTCTTTGTACATGGATCCGCTTGAATTTACAATTTTTCATTGTAAAGAGCGGTATTTAGATCGACGACGACTCTCGCACCCTAGAATCCCTTAAAGAGAGCAGAGAAACCCAAAGCAGGCAGTAATCTGAAATCAGCGGACATTGCTGCTGAGGGTTTAAAAATCTCTGCAGCTTCCCTCGCAGACAATTCTTGGGGATAAAAAAGGAGAACCTTTGCCAGCAAGCATTACTGATGGTCTCAGACATGTGCCTCCATTCTTCGCCGAGGAAGATGGGGAGAGTTTGGGATTCAGTTGGTAAGTGATAATGAAATAGCCACCTGTATTTCGAGCAATGGCGCCGATCAGTGCAGGTGGTATGGCCATTACAATGCAGCCAATGCCAGCAACGAATGACAATTTTTGCGCACCCGATGATGACTTGGATGACAAAACTCTTTGAAAGTATACCTTTAAATGTTTGTTTCTTATTCATTTAGAGCAATACGCGAAATTAGACAAAATTAACTGACAAATACAATTTCAGCTATCATGTGCAAAATTTGAGGCACAGACCGAAGGGAGTGAAGCAAGTAGGAGCGGAAAATGTTGGTACAAGAACACTGAAAAATTGCATTCTGCTTCTACATGACTGAAATTTTGCTATGCTTCCTTCGTTCATTCCATACAGTATTTAAACTACAGTTGAACAGTTTTAATTAACGAAGTTCAACGGAAAACGAACAAACCTGCCATGGGATGCCACCAAACACAAGCAGTAGCATACAGTCGATCCAAAGTGTCGTCTCTTTGAAACCGCCAATGGTACCAATCCAGTCCGCTGCATTTCTCGATATATCCTTCGTTTTGTCTTGCAGTAGCGCTGCTGGCACACACACCCACTGTAAAGCAAATTACTTTTTTCTGATTTTCAGCTGTATGGATTTGATTTGCAAGTGAGGTTGTTTATTGTCGCTTAAAGATCTGCTGCTGATTTCAGCGCCATGCCAGTTTCTCCTAAGCAATTCAGGGCATCTTCCTCTTTCATGTTCTGCTCACTACAATCGAAGTATCAAAATATCAATAATGAAACAAACCAGACCGACGAATATGCAAAATAGCTGTACGACATCTGTATAAGCCACAGCATACAGACCGCCAGTAAAGGTATAAAATACGGCAATAAATGCTGATATTATAACTGACAATGTCATATCTATGGCCAGAATAACTGAAAGTGTTGCTCCTAAAAATAAAACAATCTGACAAATTGTATCACTTACTAAAGCACACAGCAATGATATTTCTATATTCATATTTGTAGGAAAATCAGCATTTTTGCCAATCACTTAGCAACATAAAAATTTGCGAACTTACCGAGAGCTGACAGAATTGCGGCAGTCCAGAAGACTTCTCCAAGAAGAGCTGGAATAAAGAGGAGACCACCAATTCGTTGTCCGTATTTCATCTAAAAATAGTTGCAATATTTTTTTTGGAGAGAAAACTGCACAAGAGCTCTTTTCAATAAAGTGCAACTTTGCTAGCGCATTGTTTTTCGGCTGCTTTACGGTTTTCTCTTACGGTTCACGAAGTGATAATACATACCGATATAAAGCAAACGAAGGGCGTTACATCCCATAGGCTTCGAGCCCATTTGTGTCTTTCTGCAGATCAGTGTCATTTTTCGGCAGTATTTTGGATTAATTAACGTGCTTCGCTGAATGTACATGCACACTTAAAATTCAGCATTATGGGCGCCCATATCCCTTCAGATAAAGTATTTTAAAATCAGGTGTGTATTGTAGGGAGAAATGTTTAATATTTCTCGAAAAAAATAATTCTTGTTTGCCTTCGTTTATTCCAAATTATACAGGAGCCAACTCCTTCATTCTCCCCTCTCCTTTTCACTAGAAGATAAGGTAGGTTTTTAGGGAAAGCTGATTTCGAATATGCCCTTAGCGCGGTGAGGGTTTTCGCATGAGCATCTTCGAATTCGACTGTGCAGCAAATACCTAACAGTTTTTATCCACCCTCAGAAAAATACTGCTTCTGCTCAGTCCGGCTACCAACTTAATTGTGTGCCAACAGTATCCCAGACTAAACATTCTCTTGTATGCA